CCTCCTATCTCTTATCTTCTTCAAGCTTTGAGACTCTTATCATTATCTTTGAACTCAATCGTGAAGAGATTTTCCTAAAATACGTTTGTGATTTCTGGCCTATAAAAAGGAGTCCTTGGTCCTCATTTTAAAGGGGGCTTAACTTGATTTTTTATATTTGCACACGATCATGAAATTTGAACACAAGAAAACAAATTTATATTGAGGCAAGCGAATTTTTTACTGCTGCTTAGGTAAATTACTTTTGCACCTATTTGGTTAATTTTATGAAAATGCTTCTTTTAATTAAAAGAGTTTTTAGAAGAAGTGATTCAATATAGTTTCTTTTAAAAGCACTTTCGAAATAGGAAATTTTTTTAAAAATTAATTTTCAAACAAAAACTAAGATAACCCCCTCTAAATTTTTTTCTACAAAAAGTAAAAGCCACTAGCAAAAGTCATATCAAAAGACGAGCTTGTTTGGAGAGAATTTTTGAAAATTATTATCTCAAAATCAATTTCAACAACATTCTTTGAGATTCACAACTTTTTTCCCTACTTTCTAAGCATAAATGATCTGAAAAATCATTTTCTCAATTTATATCTTCCAAACAAGTTTTAGGAGATCTAGAACAAATAAACCCTTCCAACCATTCTTGAACTTTATGAAAAATACGTCAGATAACATTGGAAAAAGGAAGTGTTCAAATATATTCCATGAATTGCAATCTAGATTACTTCTAAAATATAATGACTTTTGATTCTTGTGACATTAATCATTCAAAATTTCATCTCCAATTGATTCAGTTTATAATGTAAATTTCATATTTAATGTATATTTAATAGGAGAGGGTAAAACCGGAGAGAGGAGATAAGAAAGAGGAAATATAAATATTAAATTATGATAATTTATTCAGTCTGAAAGAGTCTACACATTTAGACGTCTTCTTGATAATGCCTTCTTTATTCTCGTCACGTCAATATAGAAACAAATTGATGGATAAGTAAATAGTATTTGTAGATCCTACTAAATGTTTGGATAAAAAGTGATTTTAATATTTATAAGCAATTATAAACACGAGCCAAACATAGGCTAAGAAGCACGAACAATTGACCAAATAGTGACATTTTACCAATACATGAAATATCAAACATTCCTCTTCTTTTGCAATTTGTTTTGTATCAATTTATAACTGGAACTATCCCAAGCAAACGCACCAGCAGCAGGAGAAAAGGTAAAAGAACATCAAACTATATCATTTCTTTCTTTCCAAAGTCCTCGCAATAATATTAAGTATTACCAGCGGCAACTGACAACTGACAAGAGGGCGTATAGACATTACTGTGTTATAAAGGTAGTTAAAACCTAAATGATTTGCGCTGAAACTGTTAGAAGATCTGGTCTACCAGGTGAAATAAAAATTAACACACTATCAAAAAAG